TTGAATTTAGAGCTTTTAGGAATCGCCACACTGCTTTCCACAGAGGTTGCACTAGTTTACACTCCCACCAACAGTGTAGAAGTGTTCCCTTTTGGCCACACGCTCTCCAGCAGCTGTTATTTTTTGAGCTGTTGATAATTGCCATTCTGACTGGAGTTAGGTGGTCTCAGTGTGGTTTTGATTTGCATCTCCCTGATGATTAGTGAGGTTGAACATTTCTTCATGTGTTTGTTGGCTGCTCGGATGTCCTCTTTTGTGAAGTGTCTGTTCATATCTTTGGCCCATTTTATAATGGGGTTGTTTGTTTTTTCTTTTCAGCACATTTTAGTTCCTTGTAGATCCAGGACGTTAAGCCTTTGTCAGACCTGGTGTTGGCAAATACTTTTTCCCAGTCTGTAGGCTGTCTCCTTGCTCTCTTGATGGTTTCTTTGGCCTTGCGGAAGCTTGTCAGCTTAATAAGGTCCCACTTGTCTATCTTCTCTCTTATGACCTGTGGGTTTCGAGTTTTGTTCAGGAATTGGATGCCAGTTCCGATTTTCATGAGGGTATTTCCTTCCTTTTCTAAGGTTCTTATGGTTTGAGGTTTTACATTTAGGTCTCTGATCCATTTGGAGTTAACCTTTGTGCATGGGGATAGATAGGGGTCCTGTTTCAATCTTCTGCATGTGGTCAGCCAGTTTTCCCAGCACCTTTCACTGAATAGGTTCTCCTCTCCCCAGTGGTAGGTGGTGGAGGCTTTGTCAAAGATGAGTTGGTTGAGAAATTGAGGTTTTGCTTCTGGAATCTCAATTCTATTCCATTGGTCTATATGCCTGTTCCTCTACCAATACCAAGCTGTTTTGATGATTGTAGCTTTATAGTAAAGTTTGAAGTCTGGTAATGTGATACCACCTGCTTTGTTTTTTTTGCTGAGGATTGTTCTGGCTATTCCTGGACATTTGTGTTTCCATATGAATTCCTGTGTTGTCTTTTCTAGGTCTATTTTCCCTGAAAACTGGAACAAGACAAGGATGCCTACTCTCACCCCTCCTGTTCAATATAGTATTGGAAGTCCTGGCTCGAGCAATCAGAGAAGAGGAGGCAATCAGGGGTATCCAAATAGGAAAAGAGGAAGTCAAGTTATCTCTCTTTGCAGATGATATGATTGTGTACCTTGAAAACCCAAGAGAATCTATCAAAAACCTCCTTACACTGATAAAGGCCTTTGGCAAAGTCTTGGGATACAAAATAAATGTACAAAAGACAATCGCATTTCTCTACACCAATAATAAACAAACAGAAACCCAAATAAAAAACACAATTCCATTCACAATAGCCACAAAAAAAAATGAGATACCTTGGCATCTTCCTAACCAGAGATGTGAAAGACCTTTACAATGAAAATTACAAAACACTGCTCAAAGAAATCAAAGATGACACAAACAAGTGGAAAAATATCCCATGCTCATGGATTGGAAGGATCAATATTGTGAAGATGTCCATCTTACCTAAGGCAATCTACAAATTCAATGCAATACCCATCAAATTACCAGCAACATTCTTCGCAAAATGGATTTTAATTGTGTGAGTTGTGAAAATTTCTCTTACAGGCACTGTAAGTGAAAGTGTTCCATATAAGAACAAGTTACTGCCAAGGCTCCTGCTGTCAGGCACACTCATGTTACGAACAAATAACACGCACACTGCATCCGTATTAGGAACAGACCCTTGATGGCAAACAACAGTTTTGGTATCACAGATGTTTTTGACAGCCACGGTTTGAAGTTCCTGGAAGCTTTTACATTTGTGATATGATTTTAATGGTATAAATGCACCATTAAAAAATGAAGAAAATTTAATTATATGTGCAGTTCATTCAGTGGGTATACTCAAAGAGCCCATTACCAAGAAGGACTTTAGAGAAATAAAATGTGGCTATAAATCATGTAACACTTTTTTTGCTCATGCAACAAGATTTTAGTAACATCTGGGTACTAGCTTTTCCTGAAAACTCCTAAAACTAAATTAGTGAGGCCCCGATTACCCACAGCAAATAGGTATGTACCATACTGCTCACACTCCTAATATGCTCATGCCTCCTTCCTCTGCCTGCCTACAGCTCTGCTTTCTCTGTCTCATCTATAGCCCCAACTTCAACTGTTACTAAAATGCCAACAAGTCCTAAATCCGTGTTGCTGGTTCCAGCCTACTCATGCCCTCTGAGTGTTAGGACCACACTTCCACCCTTCTTCTAGGCAATCCCTCTATATTCTTCAACCTTCTACCCTATAAGCTTATTTCTGTGTTCGTTATCAAATTCAAGGTATTGCAATCCATTTAATAAGCTAGGCTGGAAACCTCAGTTATGCTAAATATCTCTATCTCCCTTAACCACTCTCAAAACTGGACACAAATTTTGAAGTTTCTATTCCAAATTAATTCATAAATGTCTCTCCTTTTAGTTCTCACCATCATAACCCAGTTTAACTGATTATTCTTCATATGAGCTTTGAAAAAGCTTTTAAAACTGGTCTCCTGCCTCAAATCAACATGACAGGTAAAATATTCTTGATGTTACACTTCTATCCAACAAAGATTTGATGAGCACTTTCTATATATCAGCTCTCAAGTTGGGCAGTGAGTGGAGAATCCTGGGAAGAGCAAACACCTCTCTTCAGTGAACCAGACTCTGGTTCTGGAGATAAGACTGAAACTAAGTGAATAAACAAAAAATCAACCCACAAACGGTGCTTGGGTGAAGAATAACTAGCAGGGGATGAAATGTATGCAGAGGGAATACCAGGAGGAAGAAAAGAGGCCACCACAAAGAGCCAAAGACAAGAACATTACAGGGCCCACCACAAGGAAGGAGAGCCCTTCAGAACCAGGGTGGCCACAGCCCCGTTTATACTGGAGGGTACGTGAGATAAGGAAGGCGAGGTAAGTTAGGGTGAAATCACCCACAGCACTGCGGACCACTATCAAAAGCCCGAATCTAATGTGCAGCACAACTGAAAGCCAGGGAGGAGTTTTATGCCAGAAAGGAGGAATATGATCTGATTTACATTTTAAAAAATTAACCAGGATTATGTTCCCAATCACAATACAAATGTCAATCTTCTGTTTCAAGAAAGTCCAATGGCTCCTGATGGATGGGGTGACTGCAAGTTCTACTTTGCTCAGTCCAGATTTGTCCCTGTTGTCCTGGTGTAATTGTTAGGACTGTCCTTTTCACTCTCACAAGGGTTCTAGTTGAGAACATAAATTGAATGGTCACCTTGCTAATAAGAAATACAGTAAAAAATCACTTAGGATGACATCTAAGGCCTCTCCGAACCTGGTTCCAACTCTCTGCTCTATCACACATCTACCTTACAAGTGTTCAGGTCACTTTGAAATGTCATGGCTGGCAGTATTCCAAATGAGGTATGCATTGTCCAGTACGGTGCCTTTGCTCACGCTCCTGCCTCTTACGGATGCTCTGTTACTACTTCCCTGAGGAGTGGACAGACCCTTGAGGGCCAGGCCTAGGAAGCCCTCTGAGAACCAGGCAGAATGAATGGCTTCCTCCTCTGCATCTTGTGAATCTCTCTATTACAGTGTGTGTCACTACTGGGTTAAGTATTTATAGGTCAGGTTTCTCCACTAGAATGATAGGTACACAGTACTGATGTGTTCTGGGGTCCTCACCACCCATCACATGCCTGGCCCAGAGCTGGTACTTGATATATGACTGCTAGATGAATTATTTAATATAAAAGCAAAATAAAATGTATAGCAAAATAATATAATTGAAGAATTAGATTTCAAAATGAATTTTTCTAGCAGGCTTACAACATGATTGTCTTCACATCTAGACTGTTTTCATTCTCTAGCTTCATTCCAAAGTCTATAGACTGTTTTCATTCTCTAGCTTCATTCCAAACTCTATCATTCCAAAGTCTAATGTACTCCACATTCATCAGAAAGTGACAATAAACTTTTAATGATTAGAAGTAAAAAAGGCAGCTGGGCTCGGTGGCTCAGCCTGTCATCCCAGCACTTTGGGAGGCCGAGGTGAGTGGACTGCCTGAGCCTGCGGGTTCAAGACCAGCCCAGGGAACTCGGCGAGACCTCGTCTCTATGATAAAATAAAATAAAAAATAGTTGGTCATAGTAGCACATGTCTGTAGTTCCGACTACTCAGAAGGCTGAAGTGGAAGGATCGCTGGAGCCCAGAAGGTCAAAGCTGGAGTGGTCATGAGTGTACATGCCACTGCACTTCAGCCTGGGCGACAGAGTAAGACTCTAATTCAAAAAAATGTAAATAAAGAAGTAAAAAAGCCTTTAAAAGGCAAGAAGAAGACGACATCTATTTATCAATAAAATGAAACAATTTCATGTTTTGGTAATAAATTTCTAACTAACTGTGCAGCTGAAATAAAACAGTCTGATATATTACCACAAGGCGATTTCACACACTCACCGTTCTTAAGCAATCCTGAACAAATCCCACTCAGAAGAAGTTTTTGACGTAATTGCAAAACTTCAGCTTCCAAGGCTTGGACTTTTGATCTCCACTTCAACTCCTGCTCAGACACCAACATTGCAAGGTCCTCTGTGTATTCTCTGCTGCTTTTGTTTGCTGGTTTTGAGTGAATAATTGCCAAGGCCAGAGCCAGCTTTGAAGTTCTCAAATGCCATTTTTGAATATCCATCCTGGCTTTTGTCCCTATCATTTAATAAGAAAAAAAAGTTATAAAAATTCCTTTTAACTTCTGCAGTACATTTCATTTGCTCAAAATTGATTTTGCAGAGTAACACTAATTAATAAGTGTATAATAAAACTTGGCACCAAATAACAGAAAAAAAATCTCTACCAAAGGCAATCTACAGATTCAACACAATACCCATTAAATTGCCAATAACATTCTTCTCAGACCTGGAAACAATACAGAAATTCACATGGAAACATAAACAAGCTGAATAGCCAAAACAATCTTCAGCAAAAGAAACCAAGCAGGAGGTATCACACTTCCATACTTTAGACTTTATCATAAGGCTACAATCATCAAAACAGCCTGGTATGGGTATAAGAACAGGCATATGAACTGATGGAACAGGACAGAAATTTCAAAAGTAAGCCTCAATTTCTCAAACAACTCTCTTAGACAAAGCCCCTACCAACAACCACTGGGGAGAGGAAAAGCTATTCAGAAAATGGTGCCGGAAAACCTGGTTGATCTCATGCAGAAGATTGAAACAGGACCCCTACCTATTACCGTACACAAAAATCAACTCTAAATGGATCAAAGATCTGAACATAAAACCTCAAATTATATGAATCTTAGAAAACACAGGAGACACCTTTATGGAAATCAGAGTAGGCTACTAATTCCTGATCAAAACCCCAGATGTCCATGCCATAAGATATCAGATACACAAGTGGGACCTCATCAAACTGACAAACAAAAGAAACCATCATCAAGAGATATACAAGTGGGACCTCATCAAACTGCAAAGCTAAAGAAACCATCATCAAGAGAGTGGAGAGACAGCCTACAGAATGGGAAAACATATTTGCTAACTGTATGTCCGACAAAGGTCTAACATCCAAGATCTACAAGGAACTCAAATGTGCCAAAAGGAAAACAACAACAAACAGCTCCATTAAAAAGTGAGCAAAAGACATGAATAGGCACTTCTTAAAAGAAGACATACAGGCAATCAACAGACATATGAAAATGTGATCAGTAAGCCGGACTCGGTGGCTCAGTCTGTAATCCCATGCCTTTGGGAGGCTAAAGTGAGTGGATTGCCTGGGCCCGCGGGTTCGAGACCCGCCTGGGCAACTTGGCGAGACCTCATCTCTACAATAAATAAAAAAATCAGCCAGGCGTGGTAGTGCATGCCTGTAATCTTGGCTACTTGGAAGGCTGAGGTGTAAGGATCGCCGGAGCCCAGTAGGTTGAGGCTGCAGTGGCTGGGAGCGGCCACTGCACTCCAGTCTGGGTGACAGAGTGAGACTCCAACTCAAAAAAAAAAAAAAAAAAAAGAAAATGTGCTCAGTCTCACTAATCATCAGAGAAATGCAAACCACAACCACACTGAAATATCACCTAACCCCAGTAAGAATGGCCATCATTAATAAAACAAAAAACAACAGGTGCTGGAGAGGATGTGGAGAAAAGGGAATGCTTTCACACTGCTGGTGGGAATGCAAACTAGTTCAATCTCTATGGAAAACAGTGTGATGATTTCTAGATGCACTAGAAAGTGACCTTCCATATGACGCACAGCAACCCCCCTACTGGGAATATACCCAGAGGAACACACATCATTCTATGAAAAGATACCTGCACGCACAAGTTTATTGCAACACTATTCACAACAGCAAAACCATGGACCCAACTGTGCTGCCCATTGAAAGTGGACTGGAAAAAAAAATGTAGTACATATATATGACAGAATATTACACCGTCATAAAGAAGGACAAACATACAGACTTCACAGCAACCTGGATGGATTTAGAGTCTATAATACTCAGTGATGTATCACAGAAACGAAGAACTGAGTACCACATGTTCTCAATCATAAGCAGACCCTGAACATGTACTAAAACTGTAAGAAAGGGATTGACAATAGCAGGACACTGCCAAGGGAGGAAGGGAGTAGGGGCACACAATATCAATAAGGGTACCCGATCTCAAACCAGGCGAAGTGGAGACCAGAGGCCCAAACTTCACCTGTACGATGACCAATTGTATACCTAATCCTGAATTGTACCTTGTACCCCACATCTTTAAAATAACAAAAAGCAACAACAAATATATATGTGTGTGTGTGTGTGTGTGTGTGTGTGTGTGTGTGTGTGTGTGTATATAGTGTGTATGTGTGTGCGTGCGCATGTGTGCATGTGCGTGCGTGTGCGTGTGTGTGTGTGTGGTGTGTGTGGTGTGTGTGTCTGGTTCCATTTCCTCCAAATTCTGATTCAGCAAATCTTGGGTAGGACTGAAGCTTTTATATTTTTATAAGAGTTCACTGGGTAACCAGAACCACTAAATTAAATCATCCATTTTAAGGCTGAGGCAGAAGGATTGCCAGAGCCCAGCAGGTCAAGACTGTGGTGGCCGGAAGCGGCCACTGCGCTCCAGTCTGGGCGACTGAAACTCCAACTCAAAAAAAAAAAAAAAAAAAAAAAATTATTCTCCTCCAATCCATTCTGCTAAATCTTGCATTCCTTAATGAACCTTTACTTGCTATTTCTGCCTCTAACCAAACTTCTCCAATCTAAATGGAAAAAAAAATATTTTAAGCATTTGCATCATTTAAGTTGGGAGTCTGCTCTGATTCTGTACTTCCAAAGATTTCCAATTACCATATGAGCATAATTTTCCAAACTAACACTGTGTCAGTCTTACAGTGTAAACACACTTATGGAGACAACATAACAGGCCACCGCATTTGTGAGTTTAATACCTTAGTCCCTATGGAACTATAAGCCCCCTGTGGCTTCAACCATGATTTATTAGACTATCATGAGAATTTTGCACATAAAAATGTGTTACATGAAAATTTTAAATGAATGTTACAAGTATAATGGTCCACAAAAATGCAGCACTTTTGGGTGCCATGCTTATTCTGCCAACACAATTTCAAATTCTTCACCACATATTTCGAGTTTTATTTCTTTAAATTTTCCAAGCCTATCCTTCCACTATGGGTGGATTACACTCAATCAGATACACACAGCCAAGGCACATTCCTGTTCACAACTCAGCTCATAAATTTTCCCCAGTTGTAATGCCTTCGCTTTCCTAAAGCTGTCAAAACCCTGGCTGTGCACCCTCAAATACTACCATGTAAAATCTTCTCAGAGCTATTCCCACCCACAACAAAGTGTAGCCATCTGATATGCTCTAATTTAGCAATGAAAATGTACAATCTAACAAATAGCACAAGTCTGTTTTATTATAATCAGTGACAACAAAAATTCACATAAAATGTTTATACAGCATTATTTGTAGTATTAAAAACTGAAACCAGCTGGGTGCAGTGGTTCACACCTGTAATCCCAGCACTTTGAAATGCCAAGGCAGAAGGACTGCTTGGGTCCAGAATTTTGAGACCAGCCTAGGCCACATAAAATATAAAAAATAATTAGCCAGGCATTGTGGCACGTGCTTATAGTCCCAGCTACTCAGAAGGCTGAGGCGGAAGGATTGCTTGGGCCCAGGAGGTTGAGCTGTGATGAGCTGTGAGCATGCCACTGCACTCCAGCCTGGGCATCAGAGTAAGATCCCTACACACAAAAAAATTTTTTTAAATGGGTATTACTTAACTATTAAAAATTAATTTTCAGAAATGTATTATTAGCATGAGAAAGTGTTAATGATATTCTAAGTAAAACATATAAGGGCATGAAATTGCATACACAATAGGATCCCAATAATATAAGAAGTGGGAACTATAGAAAACTAAACAGAATTTATCTCTAACTATAGAATTACTTGTGATTTTTATCTTCATTTCTTTATATTTTCCTAGTTTGCCACAATTAATATAGATCAAATTATGATCCAAAATTATAAAGAAAATAGATTTCCAAAACGAAAATACACAGATGTGTAGTTTCACAGCTGCTGAATAAACCAAGAACTCGATACCGTTAAGATGAACAAACTAATTAGAATTAAAGCTCCACTTCTTTTCGCTTTCTCAACAACTGCTGCACTCCCTGGTGCATCCCTACTGGCTGTCGGTGAAGGGAACAGCAGACTCTGACACCCATTTCTCTCAGAGAGCACCCTATGTGCAGAGCACAGACACACGGTTTTTGAGACTCTCCCTCAAGAAGTAAATCTGCTAGTATGTATGATGACACTGATTTTTTAAAATTGTAACCTGTTCATAGATGTTACAGTTAGAAAAGAATCTCACGTTCAATTGTGAATGGTGGAAATCCAGGAGAAAGAGAAAAAGAAAAACTAGATAAACAGTTTGTCAATACAAGAGGACAAAGTACTCTGGATAACAAAAACACAACAAATGCGCTGTTGTCCAGCAGAGATATTTAATTTTTTAACTTGACAAGCTGATTAATTAAATTTTCTAATCTTAAGTAATTGCATATGACTTATTAATCATCTTAAAACCATGCTGAGTATCAGTCATTAGAGAAAAGATCAAATTATAAAGTTCTCCTGGATTGTAACTACAACAGGGTCAGGATCACTCGTCTGAACACTAATTAGAATTATACCACAAATGAAGAGAAATGATTGCCAATAAAGATGTTCAGCCTAGGCCTGTAGGATAATGAGTCACACTCAGAATACACACAGACCCACAACATACAAAACAAAAAAACAGGTATCTAAAACTGTGTGTGTGTGTGTGTGTGTGTGTGTGTGTGTGTGTGTGTGTGTGTGTGTGTAGCTTTAGGATAACACTCCTATTCTCAAAGTTTCATTTGCAAAATTAAGATAACTCAGTTTCCCCTAAAATCCCATGAAGAAAAAAAAATGAGCTTCGTAGCATACCAAGAACTATACATCTGCCTTTGTACCTAGCTCTGGACTCAAAGCTCCTAAATCTCTTATAATTTCCTGAGATCTTGGAGTTTCTTTTGTTTTAATGAGGTAACTTTTGGCAGGTCCCTAGACAATTTCATGATGGGGGCTGAGTGATAAATAAGAAGAAACCATAAAAACCTGAA